TCTGTGGAACCCAGTAGCTGTCAAAACTTTCACATTTTTACGAATAACTCGGAAATCGTAAATTTTTCAGGTAAAACGGTTGAAACAAACATAAACTAAAATTGAACGGCCAATCTGAAAATAACAAAAAAAAGGGGGGGTTTCATTTAAAAAACCAGAGTTGGTAACTACCACACGTTTATGATGCACCCTGTATATTGGAAAGTAATTTTAGAATGTGGACCCTTTAAACGTGAAAAACTTTCGTTGGACGAATTTTCTTGTAAACTTCATATTTACTGAGATATCGCACTTTGACGCACTAATGAGCAACCCTGTATATATAAAAGCGATCTTCCAGGGAAAATGTAAAACCAAACTTACTTGTTTACTGTACAGGAAATAATTCTGAGCTAAATTGAAATTGTCATGTAAACAAGTCGTGAAATATTTGTTCGCTCTCAAACAACCTCCGCCAGTTCAAGCTTTTGAAAGTTTAAGTGTTTTGAAAAATACCCGTATTTTTTTCGGATACCCTGTATGTTAGAGATCTATCTTACCAGGTTTCTGCACGCTGGGGCCCCATCCCGAACCATCTCCGTATCGGCTCTGATTCACTTGCACCAAAAGTTCACTTTAAATAAACCGATAAACACAGTTACTTTTCAGCAGCAAAATGCCAATACAGTTGAGTCCGGAGATAACGAACTTGAAAAATGAACTAAAACTGGTTTGTTATATCCGGAGTTCGCTATAAGCGAATAATAATACAAAAACACGTGGTGTATTTTATTTCGTTATTTTTTACATAGAGAGTTTACTAGAAGTTAGTAGGTATGACACAAAACACAAAAATATAAACAAAATTCAATTTGAAATCTACTTCATAAAGTCTGTAATTTTTGTTTGTACATTTCTGCTGCAAAAATAGATGTTATTTATGTAGTTTCACAAGATCAAGATCAAGATCACAAAAGGACTCCCAGTGGCATTTTCTTACAAAACACTGCCACTTATGGGAACCTTTTCTTGTCTTTTTTGAGTAAACCACTTACTAAGTCCCTTGTCAACCTTTTCATGTGCAGATAATTTTAACTTCCTACATCTAACATTTGTTTTGTCATATGCTGATAAAATGTTTTCTCTGTTTTTCCATATTGTTGCAACAGTAGACTTTCCAAGTGCTAATTCCTTACAAATGTCACTCTGCTTTACTCCACTTTTTATTTTGTTAATAATCTCGTGCTTTTTATTTCGTGAAAAAGCTTTGCGTTTTTGTTTTTCCATTCTAAAACGAATTACATACAAAACGCGGCAAAAAACAACAAGTCACTGCCTGTCTCTTGCTCTCACTAATATAAACAACTCCGCACGAAGTTCGTTATAAACGGAAAGTGAATATACAACTATCCTAAAGTGATCGTTATATTCGGAAGTTCGCTATAAACGGGTTCGTTATAACCAGTAAAAAATACGTTGGTCTTTATGGACGACGATTCAATTAAAGGAAAAAGTTCGTTTTAACCGAAATGTCACTATAACCGGGTTTATTATAAGCGGACTTTACTATATTTCGATATCCGATACTGACATTTGCTACGTTTTAAAAAAAACCGAATTGTACAGTCCAAACATGACGATGTAATCGTTTGCTTGATCGTTTTACTCGTGTGAATAAGTTCTTTATTGATGAGGTGGATCCATTTTTTCACAAACTGTCGGGTATTTCGCGTCAAAATTTTTTGTCTGTGAAAAAAGACAGAATTTCCTCACGTCTTTTTTTGTCAATTTAATAATCAATTTGTAATAAAAGACGTGAGGAAATTCTGTCTGAGGCGGAATACCCAACCAACAGTTTGTGAAAAAACTCGTGTGAATGATTAACTTTTTTTTATCGAGAAAGTCTATGTAGCCGCAAATAAAAACCCGATAAATATAAACACGGAAAGAATGGTTTTAGACACTTAAAATTTTGTTTCCGGTCATCAGTCGTGCCGAAGCCATGTAAAATACATTTAGCCCGCCAACTGTACAGGGTGTACGAAAAGTATAATATAACTTTCTTATTTTAAATGTAAACCCCTAAATTTTTTAGCATGGTTTATGGGCTGTTCAATCGCGGGTTTGTGCCACCCTAGTTTTGTTAACTTATCTCTTGTAGTTTTTGATATTTGTTTAAGAAAAAAATACCATTACAGATTGGCAGTTTTTTCTTAAACAATTGGCAAATATCAAAAACTATAAGAAGATAAGATAAATTAGGGTGGCGCAAACTCGCAATACGAAGGCCAATCCAACCCTGCTAAATAAATTAACGGTTTGCATTTAAAATAAGAACGTTAGGTAATAGTCTTCGTACACCCTGTATAACTAGAGGGTCAAATGTCTGTTACATGGTTTCGGCAATACTCGTTACAACTGTAAGTCGGAAAACTTCTGATGCACGGTCTACGTAAATCACCCTGTATATCGATACAAAATGCTATATGAAATGCGTCTGTTTCCAGTTTGAACTTTTGAGAAGCCTTTCTTTCGGCTGCACCAAGGCAGTGGGCGTAGTGCTGCGTACGGACAGTTTAATAATCTTAGCCAATGAAGATGCGTCCTTGCAAGTTCTGAGATACCATCCGAATTTTAATAACTATTACTTCTACCAAGCGCTTCAAGTTGCGGAACCTGTACTTGGCATATCCGTGTTTTATATTGGAGGTAAACAACAAAATAACCAAATATTTATACACGTAGTACCTATAAAAAATATTTCATAATTCTGCATTTAGATTTTGGTACAAGTGATGCATATCTTTGCATTATAACCGAGGACAATTACCGAATATACTCATTCCAATACATCGACGGTTGGAAACTTGAATCAAGAGGGTTAATTAGAGGCCTTAGAAACTTGATACCAGTCGAGATTGAACATCAGCTCTATCTATTTGCAGCCTCAACTAAGCAAAGTTCTTTGCTGAAGGTTGCTCAATTCGGCGCTTTACGTTAAAACACAACTTTTCCATAAAACTTTTTAGTGTTTATTTGTTAAATATGTTTATTTATTTCGTTAATTAAAGTCTTTGTTTACTTTCTAGACTTTCATTTATTGTTTATAGATCAAAACGAAAATTAAATGGAAACTTGGGCTAGGAAAGAACAAAATATCTTCAGTCGAGTGCGTGATCTGTTATTAAGTTAATGAAAACCAGCAAAGGATATAAAGTGGAATGAGGAGAATTTTTTAAAGGTGTATTAAAATAGTCACTAGGTAATAAGTAAACTTTATTTATTTCGTAGCCAAAAGTAAATACTAAATATAATTTGATTAATAATACATCGTGAGTCATACATTTGCTGCCAGAAAGCTGGATATTGAAAAAAATAAATAATAGGGCCTATAAAGCTCCCATTATTCAAAGTGCTGCAGTATACACTGCAGTGCTTTGAAACAAAACCGTTATATATATTTTAGTTATAATTTGAGAACAATATTCCATAAACTCACTAATTTATTTAAATACATTATTGAGTAAATTAAACAGATAAACAAAAAATCCCTGATAAGGTGTAGCGTAAATTTGGAAACACTTCCATTGTTAGTATCTTTGCCATTAAGGCAAATTCTTCACAACGTAAAATTTCATTAAATAAAAATGTTCCCTGGATCATAAATCTTTAAGCAAGGATGTCCAATCTGGATTGAGCATGTACCTATTATGAACGTGACCTAATACCATACAGTTTACATTCCCTTTTTTTCTATCTAGGGCAAGAATTTTCTGAAACAAAACCGCATTTCAGAAATGCATAGAGATTTAACAATAATACAAACCTCTGCACATGAATCGAGTTGAGAGGCTTCAAGTTGATATTTAATACTTCCTATTTGAACATTTATTTTTCCGGACTTATAAATTCTCACTTTTCCTATTTGACCCTCTAGCAAATCAGGTAATTTATAGTCAACCAAGGTTTTAACATTAGGGTCATCGCTGAAGCCTTTCCCGCAAAACGAATCTGGCAACTGGAATTATTTTGAAAATAATGTAGAATATAAATATTTTCAAGAATTATTCAACCGCATTTTTATCATGCAGAACATTTAAAACAATCCTACTTACTTTCCACAATGATAAGCCCGGTTTCAAGTTGTCAACATTGTCAATTTCGATAAATTCCTGCGGTATTTTATTTAATTCTGTTTTCACTACAACAAAAATAAGATAAATGCTGCCCAGGTTCTAGTAAATTATCAGTTACTTACAGTTGTTTAAATCTGATGGCACTGACTCACTTTTAATATTATTCTTACTGCTTTTCAGAACTAAAATAAATTAAAAAAATACGTGGATAAAGAGCAGACGTATACAGTAAAATAAGGTGCGATTCGGACTTCCAATGCTTAACATAGATGGTTTGTTAAATTTTATCACAACGTCTGAAGAAAAGCATCCACCCACTTTATGTTCCTTGTGTGTGTGTGTGTTAAATGTTCGTTAATTCTTAATTGAAATGTGGATGGTGGGATTTGATATAGGATAAATGGTTTTTTAAATTTTAAATTATTAGTTGACTTCAGAACGAACGAATTGTGTGCGATATTCCATTTAACATACGATTTTTGAAGAAAATACGTGTTGAAATCTCCAACAGAAGCATTTTATCTACAAATTATTCGCTGCATGTTCGATTTGCTGCCCTTAATTGCTCGAAAGCCTGATTCTCTTCTTCCGATGTTAACCGGTATTGAGCATTTGTGGGTTGAAGTTACAGGCTATAAATAAATAAAATAAATCATAACAAAATAAAATTTCGACCAACCCTGATCATTGCGGCATAATGCAATAGAAGCCCGAATAAACCTTTTAATTCAAGATATGCGATGTTAGAGCAGAGTCATGATAGTCTAATATAGGCATTTTACCTTTCTTTTCCTTGAGGTCACTTTCATTCCAAGTTCTTGACCTAAATGCAACCTTTTCCTCTTCATCCGTACTTGCTGAATTATGGTCCGTTAGTTCCTTATAGATATTAGCCTCACTTTTATTATCTATCTAAAGTGCGGTTTTAATTACTTTACATGAATAAGTAATCAACATGGGGGATAGAATGTATTAACAATTTTCTAATTAATGTGTCTGGCTTATAGTGTGGGTTCTTGCACTTGATTAATTAAAACAATAACTCACACAAGATTTGGTCACGAAGTTTGATATCAATCAGCGAGTAATTTGGGGTTTTATGGAGTCGTAAGTTAATTTTGTTCAAACACTTACCTGCCAGCTCGTTTGGATATTGGGAAGACTAACAGGGACTCTGGTTGCTGTGTCGTCCCTTGGAACGTAGGCTCTTTCATATTTAACTTTCTTCAGGGCATCACTTCCCATTCCATCTGAGAAAATTCCGCTGGATTGGATAAATTTGTCGGACCGGTCAATCCCTTTCTTGTTATTTCGAAAGTCTGCCCTGTTGTTTGTTTTCTTCTGACCTTCCGTTTTGTTAATCAAATATCTGAAAACCAAAATAGTTTGAGGTTAGATTGCCACACTTGGGACATCCAAATGTACATACTCTTTCTTTTCCTTGTTTCTGGTGGCATGAATATTGGGGAGAAATACTTTCTTGGGCTTTGTGCCCCCTAAAGTTAAGTCCCTTGGAAGTTTTATGGACTGCAGTCGTCGCTCCATGTCTGACACCTGCATCTGCATATGGTTTATTCAAAACACGACCGAGGCCTAACGTTATAGAACACAAGCGAAGGTAATTTTCGATTAAAATTTGGGAATATGCACACAAGAAAAAAAGTGTGGTTTTACCACAAAATATTGGGGTATGTTCTGTCGGTTTTACTTGAATTGAGAGGTTATTCAGCTCACAGAAATGACAACAATTGGGCACACTGTTGCCAGGTAGGGTATTCCATACGAATCTTTTATTTTTCAACTTGCTTTAAAAATTATTTCGGTGCTTGGGGATTAAACGTGAGTGCTAATAGAGATTACTACCACAGTTGGAATAATTATCGAGGAGCTTTACATCATGTAATATCAGGGATAACTGAGTTCAAAACTTCACAAGCTTGACTTACGATTTGTCAGCTTTTATTACAAAAAGGAACGTCTGACAATCACGGCAAGTTCGCACTGAAAATAAGGGGTGCGTTCAGTATCAGTCTCTTCAAATGCAGGTTAGATTCTTTTAGAAACTCGAAATAATTTTTCAATAATGGATAGTATGGATGATTCATTAAGTAATTATATTTTCTGCCAAAAAGTTAGTCAATTTAAAAATTCATTGACTAAAATGATGAACGAACTGTACCAGATTATATCCTTTTGCCATGGGGCTCTAGGCAGGCGCAGAGAAAAATTATTAAATCATGGGTTTGTGGGTATGACAATTGACGTAGTGTTTTTATATGGTTCAGCTTGAAGAGAATTATTTTTTTGTGTCTTAAATATATTTTTATGACATTTTTACAAGTATACGTTCAAGTATGTCGAACAGATCGCGCGTACAGAGCCATTATTCGTTGCAAAAACACTCAATTACATTATATATTTAGAAACATATCTTTGGAATAGTGCAACCATCTATCAATAAAAGAAATTAGGTAAGTAAACAAGTCAGGATAAATTTGCCTGCACACTGTGGAACATGCTATGTAGAGCGTTTGTATCAATCATAGTAGGCATGAAACAGTTTAACCCTTCAAAATTTTCAACTTCAAAAAGTGTTCTAAAGTTGTGCACCCTAGAATCACTTGTCCCTTTCCGTTCCCCAATAAACTGCCCAGAAATAAGTCCAAATAAGAAAATGTCCAAGAGAATATTCCTATCCAGGTTCCAGAGAAACAATGAGTTTGGAATGTTAATATTTTTCCAGTGACCGCCTATGTTTCACGTCCAACTCCTAAATCCTTTTCCATTTTTCAGTAGAACTAGTGAAGACCTCTTAGCAATGGCAGCACAAAAACGACGTGTGATCAGCACTCAAGAAACTACATCGGGAGGTTCATCCACACAGTTGTCGGCGTTGGGATCAGCACCCGGTACTCTAACTGATGAACTGGCTGCATTATTTGAATGTCCAGTATGTTTTGAAATTGTATTACCTCCGATTATGCAGTGTCAAGTGGGCCACTTAGTATGCGCCAGTTGCCGCCCTAAGTTGTCTTGCTGTCCGACCTGCAGGGGTACTCTTGGAAATATTCGAAATCTAGCGATGGAAAAAGTAGCTAATAACTTAATGTTCCCCTGCAAGCACAAGGCAACTGGATGTCGCATGTCTTTGGGACTGAATGAAAAAGCCGAACATGAAGAAGTCTGTGAATTCCGCCCATACAGTTGCCCTTGTCCAGGGGCATCTTGTTCCTGGCAAGGACAGCTGGACAAGGTTATGGTGCACTTACAACATTCACATAAAAATATTACCACTCTAAACGGAGAAGATATTGTTTTTCTGGCTACTGAAATCAATCTAGCAGGAGCAGTTGATTGGGTTATGATGCAAAGCTGTTTCGGGCACCACTTTATGCTAGTCCTAGAGAAGCAGGAGAAGAGTGATGGACACACTCAGTTTTTTGCCATTGTTCAACTTATTGGATCTAGAAAACAAGCTGAACGCTTTGCCTATAGGTAAGAATCAGTATCTTAACATTATTTACTATGCTACATTGTCATACTCCTCCAGATTGGAATTAAATGGGAATCGAAGGCGCCTAATATGGGAAGCTATGCCTCGTTCAAGTCATGAAGGAGTAGCTTCTGCTATAATGGGATCTGACTGCTTGGTGTTTGATAACTCTATTGCTCAGCATTTTGCTGACAACGGCAATTTAGGTATCAACGTTACCATATCCTTAGTTTGCTAGAACATTTAATTGAAAAGATGTATTTTTAAATAGTAATTTTCATGACTGCAAGTAACTGATAATTTATAGAACTGTAAATATGTCAAATATCGATATTTTAAAATGTATGCATCAGGTTGCTTATTTGTTCTGTTAAAGTTTAAATGCTTTTTCTGGTTCATTGCTTGTGATTTAATTTAGCGTTCGGTGAAGGCGTTTAATCTTCACACACAACAAATATGGTGACTGATGTTAATAAAGGTTCCGCGAGCCTTAACACTTTTACAAAGAATCGTTTTTCAATTTGAACTGACTGTTAACTTGGACTTAAATATGGATTCACTCGTTTAATGCCTTGAAGTATTGAAAACGGGGGTCATCTTATATAGTTTTGGGGTACACGTTTCTTGTGATTGTGCGCATTGTCAAGTATTTTTATATATAGCTGATCAGTCTGGTCTGCTGGTTTGTATATTGTGAGAGAGGAAGGGACAGTAAACTTGTAAATCCGTAAATAAAGTTGTTAATAAACTAACATTAGAAGACGATTTTGCTAGTGCTGAGAAATTTGCACACATACATATTTGAACTGAAACACTTCTATTATTGCATATCAATGTCACCTCATACATGTAAAATTGTTGTTAATTTGTACCATGATGAGAACATCATTTAAGAGTTATTTCATATTGGAAACTCTACAGAATAAATTCGTTTTAAATTTATACTTATCTTTAAATGACCGTTCCGCAATTCATAATAAATAACTTAAAATATGGGGACAATTGAGTGAATGTGTGATGATTAGGGCCCTCTCTCAAAATGGGCAGATTGTATTGTATATTGTCTATAGAATAAGAATTGTTACAAATACACTTGAACACCATTTATTACGAATATGATAAAAATCATTTAGTAAGCATCCCATTAGTAGCAGTAGGGTTATCCCAACTAACAATTTGTGATATATGAGGTACAGTAATTATTTGACCCCCATTACTGTAGATCTATTTAAATGTTCTTATTTATTGTAATTTTTAACATAATTTAGCTGAATTTCGTTTAATATTCGTTGTGTTAGTTTTAGTTCAGTGTAGTTTAACAGAAATATCTATGATACGTGGTTTGTTACAGTCTTTTGTTTAACGTATGGTTGATTGTCGAAAATAAAATCAAAAGCGTTCAGCCTAATCTATAATTAATTCGCCTTTGCAGTGACTTCCACAAATTTTGCTTACTCAAATATTCCATTATAAATTAGGCTGTTCCGTATTTCAATTTTTTGCTTCATACAAATGTAAGTAATAAGTAATGTAAGTTGCCGCAAAGATAAATAAACATTTCATTTAAAATTTCATTGTTTTTTCTCCTTTCATCATGATGCACGCAACTGGAAGTGAGCTGCCCAAGCGCGAGTACCGTTGGTCTAGTTTTTGCGGATATTTAAGGCAGTATTTTGGAAGTTGATAGTTATAAACATAACTATGTGACTTAAAGTTAGGAAGAAGGGGTCGAGCGCAGCACTTATTCTTAAAACATAAGGAAGGGCAATCAGTTGACGAGAACCTCTTGAACTATCGGTACCCAAACTCGAACGTGCGCAATAACAAATCTCACGTGCATCCTCCCGCGCAAAACCGCGCGAGAAGACACGTTCCAATGATTTGAATTTCTAAATTGCGCTCAAATCCTCAACATGCTTTATAATACCTCAATTTTCAACTTGTAAAGTGACTTATCAGTTATGTTGTATATGGAGCAAAAGTTTGCTCCTTTGTGATCTGTGATCTAAGTCCAATTGTGTTTCAAATTATCAAAAGCAGCCAGAATGTTTACACGGTAATTTACTTTCCTCATGTTCATTACTTAGGTGTATATATTTTTTACTAGCTGCCTAAATAACGCCCAATTGATTTAAACTTAGGATTATTGTAGTCCTAGGTTCATGCCATGAAGGACTAGGTGCAAATATACTTTAAATAACACTAGTTTGCCTTCTCTGCGATAACACAAGACATTTACAACTGCGCTACCTGGAAATACATCACTAAAGTTGCTCTGAATTCACTAGAATTTAAGTTAAATTTTCGCCTGTTTGCTTCTTACTTCCTTGGCAGTAAGAGATCTTATTAGGAATTAGACTCAGCGTTTACAATTCACTCACTGAACTATCAGGATAGCAAATAATTTATCTCTAGCAATACCCAGTATTATTATTACAGAAGATTACACACGTACCGAAGTAACAAATAATTTTATCATGAGGAATAAATCATGGTTTTCCCGTTAATAAAGCATCTTGCTGTTTCTTAGAAGTCTACCGGTAGAACAACATTAGAAGCCAATCGCATTGCTTTGTAATAATACTATCATTTCAACAAAAAGCAATAAATACGAGCTAGATAGTAGAAGAATGAGTTGTTAACAAAATTTAATAGGCGCTTATCAATGCGCCATAAACATTATCATTGCATCCATGCATGTAGAATAGAGCATTAAAAAGCTAGAATATAATAACAGTGGCCAGAGAAAAAAATCATGCCAATATGTAGCTAAATAATTACATATAATTCAAATGTGTGCCTGGAAATTTGAAAATAAGAAAGTCTGGGCTTTTCGAAACTGCTACTAAACGTATCAAATGGCAGTAGCTGAACATTATTTTAACATAAATTCGTATTTGCAATGATTAGCTGCGGAATGCACTCTGTAGAAAATATTCGCTATTTTCAAATTCTGCTCGAATGTGGGAAAGTTCAATTAAGCACTGAATATGCTGCACAAAAGTGTTTAGCTAAGGCAAGGTTCGATTTTAAAAAGCCATATATGTAGAAGAAAGATATAGCTTGGTAAATGGTAATACCGTTAGTCGATGCTAAATTTATTAGGCGAAGGCAAAAATACCTTGGCCGAAGTAAATTTAATCTCAAATGCCAGTTCCTATGTACATATAATCGAAAATACCATGATTTGAATTGCGGAGCATTCCATCCGCAAAAATCGATTATATCATTTTTATATCAGATGGATTTGCTTCAACTCTTCATGCTTAGTACTATGCCTAATGTACGTGATTCAGCCAAAATGTACTTGAACAATTAATTTCATTCAAATTGATTCAAACATGATTTAACTCCCAAAGAAGGTTTTTTGAGAATTAATATGTGAATCTGTTCCTTCTATTTTCATCACGAATTTGAACGAATTTGCCTAAATTGACGAACATTAATTAAGTTTTAAACAAATATGTAGGCTTTTAAACCTTTTTTAATCTCCTTGAGATTCGTATTCACTTATTATCTGAGACTCAGCGCTGTTAATTCAAATAAAATAATGGGTATTAGTGGTTAGAAATAACAGAAATTTATGATGAAACAATATAATTACAATTAATCTTAAGTAATAAGGTGGGGAACAGACGTGTGGTACCGCCTCTTCTAGACAAGCCCACTAAGTACCGCTTAGTGATGGAGATGGGGACTACAAAATACGTTACAGATGAATGTTGATCCCCAGACTTGTTTTTTGTTTGATGGGTTTTAGTGGAAATTGCCTTGAATCTATCTACATTTTGAGTCGTGAATGTCAGACTTCCAAAAATCCCATTTACATACGTTTCAAGATATCTGCAATCGATCATTCCCGCTGTAGAGAATTATAATAGTTAAAAGCAAAATATAAACACATAAATAAAAGTTATGAGGCGAGAATGCTTACAGGCCGTAAAATCGATTTTGGCACGGTTCTAAACGTACAACAGCTCTCTTTAAGCTTCGAAGTCATAAAGTTAATTAACACGTAAGTTCTGACAATAATTGCGAAGATACCTGCTGGTCCTATGGAAATACCTGCTTTCAACCGAGAAATAAAAATGGAATTCAATTTATTTCATCTCAAGTACTTTATAGCCGAGTGTAACAAAGTACTTACTAAGTAAAATTCAGAAGAGGTAATAAACACCTTTAAATGAAGCTAGCGAGTTCGCATTTAACCATCATCCACTTTCCTCACCCCGCCAGCGCTTGATTCATACAATTATCAAATGCATACCAGAAAAATGCTTCAAAATCATGCCAACTAAACAAAATTATCCCTCTTTGAAGAAATCAATAACAACCTGATGCCGTAACTAATTTCCGTGGACCATCGTCCTTTTGAAATAATCGCTCATGCCGAGATCCAAGTAAAAAAAATCTGAGATGGTCCGTATTTTATTAGCTTAACGTTCCAGAGTGGAAATGGCTTTGGTTCCGAAAAATTAATAATGAAACTTTAATTTAATGCTTTATTTAATTATACTTGGTTCGAGTGCGAACAATATGTCGAGGTTCATCCTCTTCACCTCAAATTTTCTGCTTCAAATTATACAGAACTTAATTCGAAGAAAAAAGGGCTTCTCACTTTAGTTAGTACTATGTAGTCACAAATTGAAGTCAATTCCTCAAAGTGTGTGATTTCATCAGTCTCATCAGCAGTTTGAAGAAAAGGTGAGAAATATAATTTTTCTTCAATTTTTTGTTTAAGTGTGTTCCATCAACTCATACTTGATTGATTTGGGGCTTTTACTGTTTCATCTTTAGGAATAGAGGTCCAAAAAACACGAAACTCTGAGGTAGTATTTTAATTGGACAAGTTAAAGTGATTACAATAAGACTTCGTGACAAAGGACTAATGTATCCATTGGTAACAGTAGGCTGGTGTATATCCTTGTCACTATCACCGGGTTACATACCGAACCTTTAATAAATCCCACACTTAATTACCAGGTGTACTTTCTTACCTCTATCCTTCCTTAAAGTGGATACAGGATGTAACGTTGATGAGATTATAGCTAAGTGTATTTGAGTATTTGGCTGTTGGGAATGATATTTGGCAACTATTGAGACTTAATGAAAATTTATTCGATTAGGTACTTGAAGTATAAGAAAGTGAGACAGTAGCAGAAACGAATTGATGTAAAAAGTTATGTTCAGATTAATAAGTGGCATCACCTTGTAAAGAAGAGTAAAGGAAAGAACCCTTTGGTTACATGTGCGATACGGTACGGTACGGTACGCGACGGCCGTACCATGAAAAATGGTCCCGAACACGTTTTTCACGAGTTACAACGTATTTTAAGGTTGGCAAGCTCTAAGTGACCTATAAATTTACCGTAGATTATAAATTAACGAACTAAAAGTGCCGCAACCACAACGTATCGTGCTCTTTTTATTTTCTTTGCAGTCAAAATGTTTACGTCTTCTTTACTTGCTCTTTTAATTATTCTCTATTATCTGTGGCTTGGTCGAGCACTCGACTGAATGGTTTTTTTGCAATCGCTTTCTCGGTATTAAAAAGTATATTTTTTAGGTTCGATGCCAACAAATCGACTAAAGGAGCCAGCAAACTCAGACGGGACCTGATTAATGCGGAAATAGCTAATCTGCGAGAATTGTTACCTTTACCACCTTCTACAAGACAGCGACTTTCTCAGCTTCAACTAATGGCTCTAGTCTGCGTTTACGTTAGGAAAGCTAATTATTTTCAGCAAGGTATGTTAATTAGAGATACGTCTATAAGGTAATTTACGTTAAAGTCACTATTTGGAGCAATTTTCGAATGTAAGCGGTGCAATGAATTTTCAAATAAAAAAGTAACGCAGAGGTGACAAGTAGAAAGCAGAAAATGTATGCGTAAGATGGCAAACAAGAATTGCTATTGAATCAAATGACGATGAAAAGACACATCCTTCAGTATTCCATAAACATTTCATTGTGACGGACGCATCAGATAAGAAGCGTCCCGAGGCACGTATACATGTCGAAGGAGAGTTAATTGACAGTCCAATCAATGGAGGATTTTGTCACTGGAGCTCTGAAATAGACTTTGATTGACTTAATATTCTAGACTCAATTTCAATAAACAATGGGTAATTTCGTTGAATACTTCGGAATCGCGCCAACCCAAAATACGTGACTTCGCCTTATAAGATCCTGCCTTTATAACCCGAAGAAGCCAAATCCCTAAACTTTCATGCGACTAAAGTGACTAAAAGTACGCCTGAACTGCTAAATTTTCACTACGGTTAGTGGAACGTGTCACTAACGATGTAATCTTCTGAGCCCAAGCGACTTTTAATGATATGCAAGAAATTAAAAAGGGCACGCGTGCGTTAGATGTATTGTCAGCCAACTGGAAAACAACCTGCTACCGAGAAAACCACAATCAAACAGATCATCAAAACGAAGTCAGTCACCGAAAAAGAATGGTTTTTTGATTAAGCCACCGATTTGTTCGGGAAAATTCATCGGAAGATTCCGATGCATAATCAGATCGTCCTTTGATGGATAACGGCGATCATTGTTCACATTGTAAAAACATTCAACCCAAAAGTCTAAACTTGTAGACCAAAATAATTACCGGTTAAAGCTGTTACCGGTTTTTCAAATTCGGCAATGTCAGAGAAGTTTAAGAAATTTGTTGCGCTCCAATATTCCTTCAAGCGATTATACTCGTATATCTTTTCGTATAATTAATTTGACATAGAAGTATTTTTATCGTGACGAATTCAGAGATCGTGCGATATGCGACATTTTTCATAATAATGCCGATCATTTAATGGAAAGGTGGAAAGATTAATATAGCTATGTAACTTTCCAACAAAACTGCCGAAATTCACACATAACAACCGAGACTAAATTAGGTCACACACGATTTTTCTGATCCAAACCAGTTAATTTCCGCAAAAAGCTTAACTTTTAAATCCATTATAGTCGGTTGTATACTTGAGTATTCAATAAACTTGCCCTAGTATAAACAGTTAAATCAAAGATTGATAAAAGCGTAAATTTGCAATAATGTTTTTCGACTATCCCTAATGGTATTTGTATTATTTTGTTGCAGCATTCAAATGCCACGATGTTGGATTGCATCAGACGCCAACGCCCAATATAGGATTCTCTAAGGTGAGTTTCCCAACAATTGTTATTATTTGCGCTTATGCATGTAACATTATTGAATTGTTTGAATTACTTTAAATTTAATTCAATGTAGACCTGTCTTATATGCAATCCAACAATACGTCCACAATTTCAACGACTCGTAAATCACGCAATACTATTTTTATTACGAATTTACAATTACTTATTAGGATACAGCCACCATCAGCAATATTTTTACCTGAAATGTAAATCAACATTGGGGTATATGAAGATTTATCATCAATGCCCATCCGAGTGAAATTGCCATTGCGATCACAATAATATTAGAAAAATAGATACAGCGCCTTTTTCTGTAGGAAATAAAGATTATTTATATATATATATAGATACAGCATTCACTTTTTTTCCGCTTCAATTCAATCGACGATGAGTAGGCCACTAAGCAATTTTCAAGATATCGAGGAAAATCAAGTACATAGATCAACATCAGGTCAACTGAAGATTTGCGATGAATGCCCATAAAAGATTGGTTACCGTAGATAGGGCAGCAATAAATACTTGAAGATATATTACACACTGTATGCAGCCTTCGTAGGTCAAGACTTTAAATTTAAGCAAGTGTTTTTCACCGATATGTAAACAGCGCGCAGTTTTTTCATTTTAAATTAATTCAGTTTTGTCCAATCAAGTTTCATTGAAATTATTGCCGCAATTAACAAGAGCGGATCCAGGAGGGGG